CATCTGCTCGCCACCAGAGGTCGCCTTCTGATTACATTGACTCTCACACCACACAAACTGCTGCACGTCACCCTGGACTACATTTCCCATGCTCCATTGCACTGATCACCTGCAGCCAATCACACACACACACACACACACACACACACACACTATATAACAACCACTCAAATCCTTCTCTAATCGCACGAGTATTGTAAGCGCATATCGCTACCCTAGCTGATAGCTACTTTACGGAGCCTGCTCTAGTTTTCTTAGTCTAGTCATTGTCATAGCCTTGCCTTGCCTGCATTCCCGTGTTCGGATTCTTGCCTGAGTATTTTGGAAGCCAATCACACACACACACACACACACACACACACACACACTATATAACAACCACTCAAATCCTTCTCTAATCGCACGAGTATTGTAAGCGCATATCGCTACCCTAGCTGATAGCTACTTTACGGAGCCTGCTCTAGTTTTCTTAGTCTAGTCATTGTCATAGCCTTGCCTTGCCTGCATTCCCGTGTTCGGATTCTTGCCTGAGTATTTTGGATTACCCTTTCGACTTGTCTTTTGGATTATGTTTGCACCTTGCCTGGACTATTGCTTATGTTCCTCGGATTACCCCTCTTGTCAAGCCCTTTGGATTACGTTCGCCATCGATCGACCCACGCCTGTTTAACGGATTACTCTTGTGTCTTGCCTGTGCCATATCTGTTTGATGGTGTTTGACCCTGCCTGTTTCTGACCATGTCTTCTTATAAAGCTTTGCAAATGGATCCGCATGCCTCACGTCTCTGTCACTCTGTAACAGGAAATGGCTATAGCGATGGGAAGGTTCCTATGAATTATAAATGCTTAGGATAAATGCAAATGTAAATCCAGAAAGAGAAACACACCACAGGTCTGACATATACTGGTGGTGGTGGAACAAAATTGGTCTACTACACATGAAAAACAACAAATAATGTGCGATCTTTGACACAAAATTAATTTACTTGATATCTCTGTTAATTAGTATTAATTATACCAGCTATTTTGTAATTTAGTCTTAGTCTTTAGTTTTATTCAAGTGTTAGTTGGGGGAAAAGGCTGTGAATTTTAGTTAAAAAATTTATTTAAACATTTTTAATTATCGTATTTTAGTTTAGTTTTAGTCAATGAAAACAGACATTTTTAATGTCATTTTTAAAAATGCTGTTTAATGCAGTGCAGAGGGCATGAAATTACACTGCAATTACTGCTTGAAAAATGTTATGAGAGTAATGTTTTAATTAAAAAGTTACTATAGAAATAAAATGACGAAAAAAAAAAATATTTTCAAATATGAGACTAAAAAAAGCCAGTAGGTGGCAACTAGTGAATGTTACTAAGTGAGTCATTGAATCATTCATTCAACCTATTTGTTCAAAACATCTGATTCAGTCAGGAACAAAGCAAGTGACTGATTTTATGTATGGGTTATTTCATAATTTAAAATGCAGATTAATTTAGAAATGAGGCCATGGGCCTCATTCATTTTTAATTTTGTACAATTTGCACATTTATTTATGAAGAAAAAAAATATACAAAATTTCCACCAGATTCATGACAGGTGTGTATGCACATACATTTGTTATTACCCTCGTTCAGTATTAATGAATCTGTATTATTGACTGCAGCTAGAATTTTGCATTAAAATATGCCCCCAAAAAAGTACATATAAGGGTTTCCACACAACTTTACCTCTCTTTTATGTAGCCTTAGACTACACGCAGTCATGTTTCAGACCTCTAATTTGCCAGGCTACATTTTATCATGTCATTTTTATTTTATTTATAGTTACTCAGAAAAAGTATTTGTAGAGTCATGTTATTGGTTTAAATTATTGGTTTCTAAGGCCACCAGGAGTATGTGATTTTTGTACATAGATGCACAATTACTGAATAAGACAATATCCATTTAAATGTGGAAAAAATGGTTATGCTGACACCTCTCAGGGTTCTGGATCTCCTCAGTAACAAAGTTGAGAGTGTCCCAGCCAGAGTAGGAGAACAAAGCTCAGCCATCATCCCAACGTTGCTATAAGAAAAATATTTATTATTTAATTTATAGGGAATATAAATCTATGAGTAACTCCAAACAACATTTGGTCCCTTTTTAAAATTTTTATTTTACACTCTAAGAAATGTCCATAAAAGGGGCCAATGTATTGTTTTAACAAGAAGGAATTTTCCATATTTATTTTTCAAAAGAAAAGTACCAGTACCTTTTCCATTTTTCTACAGTTTTTTTTTCAGTGCATTTTTGTTTTATCCACAAATAAATTAATTAATTGTGGTAACAGTTTAGCAAAAATTGCAAACATTATACAAGATATATGTAAAATAAATCAGCTCATATAATATATATGAGCTCATAATAATACATAATATACAGTATATCATTTAACAATTGTTTAAATCTGTGAAGTTGATAATGTACATTTTCTGAAAGTTAAGCAATAAGCATTGATATTTGACAAAAAGAAACAAATGACTGCATTTTTTTTACCCTATTCTTGGAAAGGGCCAGGTCCGATCTCAGTTAGCTTGTGAATCATGTGTGTGTTGTTACAGTCTGTCCTCATGCACTGGGTGGATTATGTCCCTGCCTTCTGAGAACACATTTCACCCAAATACCAGTGTCTTCAATCGTCAGACCTGCAATAGTAGGCCTACATCTCTTTAGAAATGAGTGGTTGATGATTCTTTAGTGCACATTATTCTAAATAGAAATAAATGTCTTCATAATCTTTCTTTTAATGTAATAGCTTGGCTCACCTCTGAAACAACTTCCCTTTTCAGCTGAACGACCACTATGAGTCATTACAGCCGTATTGGTTAATTCTGGCATGAAACGGCCACTTTTCACACTCAAATTTGTATTCCCCCCCCATTACATTAGGGAAGTGCAATGGGTTTTGAATGCCATTTCACACAGAAGGATAAGCTTTAGTGAAGTGAAGAAAAAAAGGTTTTGTGTGTTGTGATGTGAGAGACAGTAGAAGTGGACAAATATTTCTCTCTCTCACACACACACACACACACACACACGCGCGCACAATAAATAAAATCACTGACATAACATCTACAATAATAATATAATGCAATTTGTAATAAATAATTATATGTTTTTGTCAAATTATATATTTAAGGTGCTGTTCTCGATCCTATCCCCTTTCTTCAATGCCTGAACAAAAACACGTTATTGTGATATCTTGTTTTAGCCAAAGGTTCACCTAAACACGAAAGTTCTGTCATTATACACTCTCAAGTAGTTCCAAACCTGAATGACTTTCATTCTTCTGTAAAACACAAAAGAAGATATTTTGAAGAACACTGGGTACCAAACAACATTAGAGCCCACTGACTTGCATTTTATGAACAAATAAACACGGAGACATTTCTCTAAATATCTTCTTTTGTGTTTAACAGAAGACAGAAAGTCAAACTGTTTTACAACAACATGAGGGTAAGTAAATGATGACAAAAATCATATTTGGGTGAAGTATCGCTTAATCAAAATACTTGTTCTTAAAGAGTAAACGCTATGCTAAGCTAATTAGCTTAGCTAACTGAAAAGTGAAATGTTTAATTTGAAAACGTTTAGCTTTGGTAATATAATGTTATATGTAATTTAAATGACAAATTCATTTTTCGTAATTAAGAAAGAATTAATTATAAAGTAATTCTATGTCATTTAATCAGGCACTGAATTGTGCACACATACAAAAAAAAGTTGTCTCAGGTAATACAATGGCTTTGGGGTGACAGGATCTCACTCAACAATGGTTAACAGGAACCAGCCGAAAAGGGAAGTCATTTCAGAGGTGGGTGATGAAAGATTCAAAAGAAAAGGGCCTTTCGCACTGCTTTAGTTCCAGAACTAAATGGACAGTACTAAAGTACTGGGACGATTTTGTGCAAACTATTTCCCAGTACCATTTAAAGGGGTGCATTCGCACCGACAGTGTGTACTAAGAAGTGACGTAAACCGGTCGACAGCGACGTCATTTGTGCGCGGCGTTCAACAACAGAAACAAAGAAGAACAACGTTAACAACAGGAGGATGGAGGACGCTGTGATCGGAGCTGTGTTGGACATGGAAAGTCGACGTATACGTAAAGCGATTGAAAGAACGGAAAGGAGGACTAAGAATCTCCAACGACAACTGGCAGTGCTACATTTGCTACAAGTGCCTGCTCTCCAGCATCCGTCCATCTATCGCTGTTCTCCATACTTGCGAAATAAGTTGACAATGTTTACAGTATGTTTACACTGCGTTTTAAATCATGGCGGGTGAGGGCGTTTTCGTACACGTTTGGCCAATCAATGTCTACTTACGTCACGGGTAGTACCAGTTGTGCTGGTTAGACCCTGCTCCGGAGTAGGAGCTAATTTGGTTCTCGAAAAAAGCCAGTCCGGTACTAAAATCGCACCCAGTTCCGGCGGTGCAAAAAAGACAAAAAGTGGGTAGTTCCACAATTAGTTCTGGTACTATGAAAAGGTTCCCGCGGTGCAAAAGGCCCTAAAGACAGTATTGTTCTTTGGAAAAACTTAACTTTTTGCAATCACAATCTTTCCCACTGAGGACTCACAGAGACAAGCCGCTGCTATCAGTCTCACAGCATCGTACGGAGACTGACAGGTTGGGAGTGCTTCCACCAGGTAGTTGGCAAACGTCAGCGAGATGACAGCCTGGCTGGCCGGCTCGACCAGCAGGATGGACATCCACAGGCGAATGAAAGCAAGGATACTCCCAAAAGCCTCCAGGATGTACACGTAACTAGCGCCAGACTTTGTAATAGTGGTTCCAAGTTCTGCGTAACACAGTGCACCAAACACAGAAAATATGCCACCGAGAGCCCAGATAACCAGCGAAAGGCCGTAGGTGGCGCTGTACAACAGCACGAAAATGCCCGAGCCAGTCATGTTGCCCACAATTAAGCAGATGCCGTTAGTGAGAGAAATCTCCCTCCTCATGATCATCTTCTCCTCCTGCGAGTCTGGACCATTGCAGGCTTCTTCAGGTCCAGGTCTCCCCGTGACCCCGGGCAGAGCTTTTGGCCTAAAGACATCTGTTTCTTCATGCTGAAGACACAAGAAGTCAACAGTTATTACAGCTGTAATCACTGGTAAAGCTCGTTAATAAAGCAATAAGCAATGGTTTACAAGTGAATTTATAACAGCTAATGGGCGTTGTTTTAAAACCCCCTTAGCTGTTATAAATTCACTGTAAACCACGGCTTCACGGGGCTTATTGCTTTTATAAAACGGTTATTCCATATACGTAGTAAGGTTTCACAGAATAAAACAGCAAATAACGTGTAATGACATTAGATATTAACTGACACAACTTTTGATTTCAACAATATATTAGTCAATTTCACCAGCACGAAAATGCCCGAGCCAGTCATGTTGCCCACAATTAAGCAGATGCCGTTAGTGAGAGAAATCTCCCTCCTCATGATCATCTTCTCCTCCTGCGAGTCTGGACCATTGCAGGCTCCAGCCGGTTTCTTCAGGTCCAGGTCTCCCCGTGATATTAACTGACACAACTTTTGATTTCAACAATATATTAGTCAATTTCACACTTAAGTTTGGGACCAATTCTGACTATTAACTAACTATTGACGAAAAACGGTTATTCCATATACGTAGTAAGGTTTCACAGAATAAAACAGCAAATAACGTGTAATGACATTAGATATTAACTGACACAACTTTTGATTTCAACAATATATTAGTCAATTTCACACTTAAGTTTGGGGACCAATTCTGACTATTAACTAACTGTTGGCTGTTACTTTTTCCTCAATAAACTCCTAATCTGCTGCTTATTAATAGTTAGTAAAGTGTAATGACATAAATAAAAATGGTATTCTTCCACCAAACAATGTAGTTCCTCAGAAACAGTTGTGGGTCCAACAAAGTGGTTGCCGAGGAACACACAGGAGTAAACTAAGGTGTATGTTTGTAGAGTAATTTACAACAGCTTCGAATGCGGCTCAACCAATCAGAATCAAGGACCGTAACTCTCCGTTTTATAAACACTATTTTGATGATGATTATGGTGGTTTTGTTTAGCATTAACATCCCAGATACATATTATTTCCCCACTGTTGTTTCTTACTAATTTGCACAATGCAAAATGACTTTCAGAACAACCAAACTACATTTTGCATTTAAATTGTTACCATATTTTAGAACGGGACAAATTTGTGATTGGCATTAAATATTGGTAACACTTTACAATAAGACTCTGTTTGTTAATATTAGTTAACTACATTATTCAGCACTAACAGTGAAAAATATTTCTGTAGAATTTCTTTATTTATGATATCTTTTTAACATTTACTAATGCATTATTAAAATCAAAAGTTGTCTCTATTAATCTTATTTAATGGGTCTGAGCTGAATGAAATAGCAATGAACAGTTATAATTTTAGATCAGTAATATGCAAATATTTTTTAACATTAACAAAGTTTAAGAAATAATGTAACAAATGTATTGCTCATTGTTAGTTAATGCATTAACTTACGTTAACTAATGGGACGTTACTGTAAAGTGCCCAAATATATTATATGCAAAATATTCCAGTAACACTTCGAAATAAGATCCCATTAATTCACCCCGTACCTAAACTTAACAACTACCTTACTAACTATTAATAAGCAGCAGATTAGGAGTTTATTGAGGAAAAAGTAACAGCCAACAGTTAGTTAATAGTCAGAATTGGTCCCAAACTTAAGTGTGAAATTGACTAATATATTATTGAAATCAAAAGTTGTGTCAGTTAATATCTAATGGACCTGAGCTGATATGAACTAACAGTAAATAGTTGTCAAAAGATGAACAATGTAACAAATTAGTTACTTTTTGCATTAATTAACCATAACTTAAAGCTATGTAACTTTTTCTGTGTTAAAAATGTGCAAAGTGTATATAATGAGCGAGTACATCATGAATTCATCTTCCAAACTGCGTTTTTGTCTTATTCCGAATCACTACAGTACACTTATAATAAGTACTTATATTTGGACTATTTTAGCCTGGTCGGGTCGCCACCGCTGCAGAGTAACACATACCTGCGTGAATCGCCATAGACATAAACTTAGAGAAGTAGCTCCGGTTGGAATGTTCTTCCGCAGGATGTGTGCAGTTCTGTTTATTAACCGCTAGAGCGCCAAAAGTTACATAGTGCTGCTTTAAAGGGGTCATATGATGCGATTTCAAGTTTTCCTTTCTCTTTGGAGTGTTACAAGCTGATTGTGCATAGATAAGATCCCTGAAGTTGCAAAGACTAAAGTCTCAAAACCAAAGAGATATTCTTTATCAAAGTTAAGACTCTGCCACACCCCCCTAAAACGGCTCGTTCTAACACGCCCCCACATATCTACCTCACTATGTGAGAGAGAGAGAGAGAGAGAGAGAGAGAGAGAGAATGTGTTTGCTGCTCAATATGTGTCTGTCTGTCACCATAGAAGAGAAAACACTCAACCTGCCCTGATCTGATGTTTCCAGCACATGTAGATTATATTACGCCATATTACTGTATTATATTACGTATATTTTGCTTCTGTAAATCTGTCTAATCCCTTATTTTATTTCTAGTTTATATACTTACGTACATTAGTAATTCATTTTGCACTACATGCTTAATACTTTTTATATATTATTATTATTCTTTTTCTTTATGTAAATACATATGTGTACTATTTGTAAGCAGTCCAGCTGCAATTGCCTTGGCAATACAAATGTATAATTTTTGTTATGCCAATAAAGCACTCTTAAATTGAAATTGAAATAGAGAGAGAGAGAGAGAGAGAGAGAGAGAATGCCTGATAGTAAAAGTAGCTCAGTAAAACCCTGTTGAACTAAAGCTTGTCTTTGTTATCCGATCTGTTCCAGCTCTGGCTCTAGAATTCAGTTTAAAGTCCCCATGAAATCAAAATGGAAGTTTTTTGGGTGTTAGTATCAATATGTTAGTCTTAAGGTTATCTAGAAGGCAGTGTGCTCCAAACCAGTGACAAAATTCGCATTTAGAAGATATAAGCATTCAAAGCTTGCAGTTCGTCACTTCCGACAAAACGGCTCAACGATTTTTTTTGACGTCACATCGTACTTCAGCTTCTCATCAAACTTTCTGTCCAATCAAATGCTCTCTAGAATCCGAAGCGCCCGCCCCCTACACTATAAAATAGATGCTGAAGCCGCGGCTGAAATCAGTCACTTGTCCACAGAATTAGTATTTTCTGTACAGTGAATGGCACGTAGTGCACTATATAGGGGACAGGGAACGATTCAGCGTCCGTCCATCTATTGCTGTTCTCTATACTTGCGAAATAAATTCTGATATTCTGATTTGCTGCTAAAAAAAACATTTATTATTATTATTACTATGATGTTGAAAACTGCCGAGTAGAATTTTTTCAGGTTTCTTTGATGAATAGAAAGTTCAGAAGAACCGCATTTAGGCTATCTGGAATAGAAATCTTTTGTAACATTATACATGTCTTTATCATCCCTTTTGATCAATTTAAAGCATCCTTGCTAAATAAAAATGTTATATTGTAATGATATATATATATATATATATATATATATATATATAACATTTCTGTCCCCCTCACCTCTGAAATGATGGCTATGCCCCTGGTATAGGCCTATATAAATACACATCATAAGTATAGGCCTATATATAAATATAGCCTACATTAAAAGTCCAGGATTGGTAATAATTTGTTTATTTATTTATTTGAAAGAAAGAAAATAATACTATTATTCCGCAAGGATGCATTAAATTGATCAAAAGTGAAAGTAAAGATATTTTTAATGTAGCAAAAGATTGCTTTATCAAATAAATGCTGTTCTTTTGATCTTTGTACTCAGACAATCCAGAAAGAAAATGTCCATGTACCATTGTTTCCACAAAAAAATCAAATTCCAGCTTTTTTTGAACATTTTATGATGAAATTCTTAAGCAGAAAATCTAAATATTAGAATGATTTCTGAAGGATGGTGTGGCATTGAAGACTGGAGTAATAGCTGCTGAAAATTCAGATTTTGTAAATCACACAAATATTTCACAATATTACTGTTTTTACTGTACTTTTAACCAAATAATTGCAGCTGCGGTGGGCATAAAAATTTAAATATTACCGACCCAAACTTTTGAATGGTACTATAGAAAGGTAATTGCATGCCTAATGAAGTTTACAAAAGAGGTTCAGGTTATATCTATTTTTAAAAGGTCATTATAAATTAATACATTAATAATAATAATCCTAAATATAAAATTGCTTTACAAGTTCTAAAATTAGGATAGTAATTTTTAAAGAGCTGCTCTAAATTTCTGATATATATTTATATATATATATATATATACACACACATATATATCCCCCCCCCCTAATTTTGTTTGTAAATATGGCCACAGATGTCACAGAAGCCATGTGGTGGGCTCTTTTAAGGCAACCACCCAGCTATCTTGCAGGTGCAAGTAACAGCCCTGTGCAAATCAATGAGGAAATTGCTTTTGTAGGTCATAACAGATTTCAAAAGCACACTATTGTTGAGAGAGGTCACGCTTATTCCAGATTAGTACCAGCTATTGTCTAAACACAGTTCTGGCATAGAAGGCTTCAGAATGTAATTTCAGGTAACACAAACACAAGAAACCCCACACATTCAGGAAATTCTACACATTTTAATATCACACATTTTTGTGGAAGTTCCTCACATAGTACCAGAGCACAGACGTATGCTACTTGTACACTGCTACATATGCTATACATTATTGTCATTTTATATTTGATGACAAGCCATTTATGTCTTAAGTCGAAGAGCTTCAAGGCAAAAAAATGAACATTGATATCAGTAGTAGTCATTTCAAATAAATCCGGTGTGATTTTTAAATGTGATATGAATGAAAACGCAATATTTTCTGTATCCAGACCTAACAAGCCCATTAAGCAATTCAGTATCTGTCTGATATTTACCAGCTATTGTCTAAACACAGTTCTGGCATAGAAGGCTTCAGAATGTAATTTCAGGTAACACAAACACAAGAAACCCCACACATTCAGGAAATTCTACACATTTTAATATCACACATTTTTGTGGAAGTTCCTCACATAGTACCAGAGCACAGACGTATGCTACTTGTACACTGCTACATATGCTATACATTATTGTCATTTTATATTTGATGACAAGCCATTTATGTCTTAAGTCGAAGAGCTTCAAGGCAAAAAATGAACATTGATATCAGTAGTAGTCATTTCAAATAAATCCTGTGTGATTTTTAAATGTGATATGAATGAAAACGCAATATTTTCTGTATCCAGACCTAACAAGCCCATTAAGCAATTCAGTATCTCCCCCAACAAAAATTCAAACATGCCAAAGCTAACTTTTTGGCACTCAGTATAGTTTTAAAAGGATAAAAATAAAAATCAAGTCGTCATTTACTCATCCTCCAAACCTGTATGAGTTTCTTTCTACTGAAGAATGTTTTCGCACAATAAAAGTCAATGGGGTCCAAAAAAAACTGAACACTGGACCCCACTGATGAAAACATTCTTCAAAAGAAAGACATGGTTTGGAATGACACGAGGATGATGACGATGACAATACTTTCATTTTTAGGTGAACTATCCCTTCATGGCCAAACCATTAAACTACTGGTGTGCCAAAGGACTTTATTTCATGGACTTCTTATTAAGTAATGCAAATGAAAAAGATATACCACGATATACAGTATGCAACATACCATCTGTTCAAAAGCTGGTGTTGTCGTAATGTTCATGTCTAATTCTCAAGATGTATTTGTTGACTTTTCTAGTGTAGAACCCATTGAATACACCGTAACTTTCAACCTATCACAGACTTAACTGCATCTACCCTGAACCAGGGTCTACATCTGCAAAACGTCTACCAACCCTGACACATAGCGAAACAACCGACAGACTCTGAGTGCCAGTGTGGGAAAAAAGGACTGGTTTACAAAAAGGAAGAACAAAACTGCTGATTCACATGAGTTCATCATCAAGTCCAGACATGCAACTGTGCAGTAATTTGGACGTTTCTTGGCATTATAGGAGGGTGTGTCTTTATAACTTTACCTCAAGTCTTCTATTTTACTAAATTTGCTGGCATGGAAAGTGCAAATGACCAGATAGAATCGATTGCTTATGCGTTTCACTGCTTTTCCGAGTAGCAGCAACCAGATTCTTTCGATGGCTAGAATAAAGTTTTAAACGTGACAATGTCAAACCACTGTACTGCATAAATAGGCGTCCCTGTCAACAAGGATTTAGGCATTACGCCAACAACCAGTATAGCTCAGAAGTCAACACAAGTCAAGTAGTTATTTGACCAAAGTCAGTCTTGTACGATGCAACCATTCAAGTTGTGAGTCATAGGCACCAACACCTTAACCACAGGGGCAAAAGCACTTGCCCAGGCACACAACGTTTCGGCCAACCAGCACAAATGTAAGAGCATGTGAACAGGAACCATCCTTAACTGAATAGGACTCACAGAGCTCCAGAGCTCACGGAGAGTTGGGAGAAGGTCAGAAGTTTCGTGTGGTGTTGAAGGAGTTGGATAGGAAGGGGGCGCTGGGGGCGGTATAAGGTGGAGGTGGAGGGCTGGTGGTGCTGAGGTCGGGGTAGGGCTGCAGGCCCATCTGTTTGTTGTCCTGGAGCTTCCGCACCACCACACGGCAGAAGTCCTCACTATGCCGCTCGCAAGTGTCCAGAAGCTTCCGCACTTTGGCAGTACGTGTGGGTTGGTTCACGACCAGTTCATAGTCTTCGCGCATCAGCAGCTCACGGGACAACAGAGCATCTAAACTCTGATTGAGACACGCCTCCGTCATCTGCCGCACGACATCCTCCCTTCGGGCAGCAATCCAGCGAGCCGCCAGACCTTGAGTGTCCAATGCTGTGACAAAATCTGCAAGGAAAGTCAAGAGCACATTAAGGAGAGCCTGAATCGAGGATGTCAAAAGTTGACAGCAACTTTGAAAAAGATCTTACAGATGCTTTGGTCCTGTTCAAGGTATCACTAACAGGTTACCTTGTGGATGTGGCTGCAGCGTGAGGGGTTGTATGACAGGAGCCAGGTCACTTTCACTCTGTGACGCATGCGGTTTGAAAGGTATGTTGAGGTCGGACACGGGCTGCGCCGTCTGGTATTCAGGGCTGAGGTTGTTCCGAGAGTAGTGGTCCACAAGAGGCTTTGGAGGATCAAGTGGAAGGGACATTAATGATGCCTGAGCACCTGACACACCTGATGATGTAGAACAGAACCAGTTCAAAGAATCCAAAGACCAGATGGAAATAAGAATAATAGATTAGGTGCATGTGATTACATTATCCCAACATTTTGTCATCATTTACTCATTAGGGTAAAGATCCTAAAGACAACCCTGGTTTATCGTCGATCTAAACCCTGCTTTTAACCCCAAAGTAAAGGAACGTGAAAACCTAGTTTGTTATGAAACACTGCTCCGGAGTTTGCTCCCACATATCAGCACCAAACTTGAACGGTGTGAAACAATTCTGTGTTACAACATTACAGCTATATACTAAGCAACAGACACCCAACCCATATTCACATGCTTTGGACAGTCACAGAAACATTTGTTTCAGCGCTTGAGGGGAAAAAAAAAAAATCAAATGGTGATGAAAAACACGCCAATTGGAGTGAAGAAGAGGCCGGTTTATTCTTACCTTTATAGTCCAAAAAGTCTTTTCAGGATAAACTTGATAGCACAGTCAGTAATATATGATATGAGGATGTGCAATGCTAGATCATTGATGTAAACAGGTTGTGTGTGTTCGTTCATCTAGTCAAGGAACTTACGGTTACACTTTATTTTAAGGTTACAGTGTAATAATACATTTAAGTACTGAGTAATATTAATTAACTACATGTACTTGCTATATGGTTAGGGTTTGGCTTAGGGTTACTTGCATGTAATTATGCATAATTCATTGTTATTATAATAGTAAGTACATGTAACATGTGTAACAAGGACACCTTAAAGTGTTACCAAACTTACAGTGTGAAACATGAGCTTATGAATACAAATAAATAATTGTTATCCCGGGCTAAAGAATGAGTAGTGTGAAACAAAATAACCAAGGATTCTGGTTACCCAGGGTTAACTATTTCAAGCGTGAAAAGCCCTACTATGAATTTTCTCATTCAGCAATTCCAGCCAATTTGTTTTCATGGAAGAAATTAAGACAAGTTGTGAACAATACGACGGTGAGTAAATGATGGCAGAATTTCATTTTTGGGTGATCTATCGCTTTTAGAAGAAATAAGTCCTGCCTTGAGAGGGATTTGATATGGTAAGGCAGCCAGGATGGGATATTTCTGCTTCCTGGGAAGAGCTGGATGTGGAACTGTTGTCCTGTAACATGAACAAGAAAATTCAGACACTCGCCAGACCATTCTCATCTCTGATTAAATACTGAATCATCAACAACCCAGGACTTATATTTAAAAAGAACATAGTAACTTACTGGCCAAGGGATGTTTTGCTCCTTCACAATCTTTTCTTCCATTAGTTTCTCATTTGTTTGAGTTGATGAGTAGCAGCTTGATGGCCTCATATACTGAGGGAAAGAAGACACAAGAAATTACAATACTTTCGATTGTTTTTTACCGCAAAGTGAGAAGACACCATCAAACTAAGTCCAGTAACTAAATCTAGACAAAAATGGGAATTAAAACAATAGTTCATCCATGCATAGTCTAAACCCTTAAAGGTTCACCTTTGTTCGTTTCACTTCCAACACTGCTTCCAAGAAATCAATCTCATCAAATCTTCTCAGCATGGGCTCCAGTTCAATAAGACAATCTGTACAGTACAGACAAAGCAGCTATTAAGCTTCAAAATAATTCAATAAACATATATATTCAAAATGTATGTATGGTATGGTCATCAGTCATTTTTACACAATCATCATGCCCTCTTGCTCAATCTGTCATCAGAATAAACAGAGTTCATTTAGTTGCTCATATCTCAAAACACTACTGTCAAAATATTGCTGAAACGAGTTAGCATTTTAGGACTTCCAGTTTAATTTTCCTGAAGGTTTTTTGAATGGGTTTTTGGATAAAATGCCAGAAATAAAGTCTGTGGTTAACACAAGCTCAATGTATGCTCAGGTTTTATTTACAATATAAAATACATCAGCAATCAGTGATTTCTTAAGCATTTACTTGTCTTGAAAAAGGTGGTTGCCAACAAGTAGCTAAATGAAACTCCAACGGTTGTCTGGTACATTAAACGTCACCACACCGAACAGGTAAACTCATCTACACACTATTCAAACTTTTCTAACTCAAACTTTCAGGAAATACGTTTTTTTTAAATAAAGACTAAAAGATTTGTTAGAAGTTGAATGGTTATGACGTTGTGACTGTGGTCATGTAATTTATTCATAGCCACCCATTGGGTTTTTGTCAAGGGATCCAGGGTGATGCCATCTTCCGATTTGGCCTACAAAAAACAATCCCTGCAGAACTCTATTGTGAAACATATTAGAGCTGACATGATGTGTACCCCAAATCAATATTTGAAGTGGACTTGAGTACTGTTTAAAACATTTTTGGGACTACTTTCTTATCAAAAATATTCACAGAACTCAGGTCTGTGCCAAAAGATCTTACTCAACGTTGCCTGCTGCTTACTAGGAAGAAAAATAGTCTATTGTTAATGGGACATGTTGAAAAAAAAAAAAAACACAAATGGCTAAATCAAGATTTTGGACTTTCACAATGTTTGATTTAATTACTGATTTATTAAATTTTATCTGGTTAAATGACAATTCTGGATGAATGACACATGAAGATGACCCCACTGCTCTCTCTGTCTATTCACAGTCATTTCCCATATTAGAGCTGACATGATGTGTACCCCAAATCAATATTTGAAGTGGACTTGAGTACTGTTTAAAACATTTTTGGGACTACTTTCTTATCAAAAATATTCACAGAACTCAGGTCTGTGCCAAAAGATCTTACTCAACGTTGCCTGCTGCTTACTAGGAAGAAAAATAGTCTATTGTTAATGGGACATGTTGAAAAAAAAAAAAAAACACAAATGGCTAAATCAAGATTTTGGACTTTCACAATGTTTGATTTAATTACTGATTTATTAAATCTTATCTGGTTAAATGACAATTCTGGATGAATGACACATGAAGATGACCCCACTGCTCTCTCTGTCTATTCACAGTCATTTTCTTATTCCCCTGATCTGTTGCAGGCTTCGCAAAACAGAAATCATCATAGGGAAACTCAACATTTTTACTTGTCTGTAACACCAAATTTTATGAGATGACAAAATTGCCAGTAGAGACCAATGACAGAATTGTGGTTAGACAATTAAAATATTTAACAATCCACAAGAACAGGTCACCATATTGGATTGTGACAGCATGAAGTAAACACGTTCAGAGGAATTGTGAAAAGCAGGGGAAAGGTCAAAGGTGGGGCACAGGCTGACACTCACTGAGAAAGGAGGGCCGTTCATCTGGGTTAGCGGTCCAGCCGCAGGTCATGAGGTTAATGAGGGTCTCTCGACTGGGAATTTCTGCTGGCAGACTGTCCAGGCCCATGTCAGGTCGAGATCCTCGGAGAACACTGAACATGATCTGCATGGGATTGGTGGCCTCTGCTCACAGAGACAACAAGAGGACAGTGTCAAGAGAATGGAGGAATGGTGCCTGGATAGACAGATGGCTGCAGTTTATGAAATGGAGGAGGAAGTGACCATGAGAGGAAATCTGTGTCATGACTTTTTTTGCATCAAAAACATGACACAGCAAAATGTGCTTAGTATAGAGTAGGGCTGCACAATGAATCTGACTTCACTGGTTGCTGTGTTACTTTGGTTTCAAATAGTAGTATAGTTCAATATTTTGAATGAGCTTTTATTTTTATATTCTAGTTTTCATTTTGATTTTAGTTTTTTTTTGTGTGTGCAAATTATTACATTATTATTATTATTTTTTTTACATTTAAGTTTTAGCTTAGTTATTTTAGTATATCAAGTTAAACTAAATGAAAACGAGAAACTTTGCTGGTAACACTTTAGTTTACGGACCAATTCTCACTTTTAACTAGTTGCTTGGCATACTAGCATTTTGGCTGTTTATTAGTACTTATAAAGCACATATTAATGCCTTATTCTGCATGATCACATTCTAGATCCCATAAAGGGGTCATATACTGCAATATAATTAGGGTAAGATCCCTAAAGTTGCAAAGACTAAAGTCTCAAACCCAAAGAGATATTCTATATAAAAGTTAAGACTCGTCCACGCCCTCCTCGTTTAAACACGCCCCCACATGTCTATGTCACTGTGTGGGAAGATTTGCATAACACCGCCCGAATGTTCACGCAAAGAAAGAAGGCGTAACTTTGATTCTCGCTGTAGTATTGTTGCCGCCACCGCCATGTCGTGGAGACGCTGTGTTTCTCGTTGTGAAAGCGAAACTTTCTTTTTTGGCCTTCCAAAAGAGGACACGACTAGAAATCAGTGGTTAAGTTGTATTTACAACACTGTTCCAGAACAGTTCAACCCAAATATTTAGATGTGTGCAGCGCATTTTATGGAGGACTGTTTCCTGATCCTGGGAGAGTAGACTACAATGCCGGCTGTTCTGACTCACAGACTGTAAGTACGTTTTTTATATTTAAAGAATTTGCCACTGATGATTCAAACGCGAGTTTTGGGCAGTGTAGAGTAGCGCTTGTTGTTAGTCGTTTCTCCTTGTCGAACTAATCTGAGAACAACTCTGAAAAAGGAAAAGACAAAAACTTTCATCTTAGTGAGGAGGCGGGGTTTGACCCTGTTGCTATGTATGACACATTCTTTTGAAGACTGTGATTGGTTGTGACAGACTTTGATGATAGCAAGATGACTATTATTATTATTAGGCTAGTAATACTATCTAATTAATATTAGGGCTTACTTGTTCCATCATATTTCTTTTTCCGTGTTTTTACAGTGTTGCGCATTATAACCAATCACACACGATTCCGTTGACTTTATGAATGCAATGGCCATCATCACTGTACAAGAGATTATAATTATAGTATAAGATTTATTCAACACAGTGTAGATAGCTTCACTGATTATAACGGGAGTGTTAGTTCATAAACTCGCGCTAGACTAAAGTCAGTGATGATGTTCTTTGCTCGTTTTCTGTAGCTGCTGTTTGAATAACTGAGGAAATGTAAGCATTGTAACTAGTAACTTACAATGTTTCTATTAAATTGTTATTATATTAAATACAAATTCAGTCAAAACATTTTATTTATTTCGTTAATAGATTATTACACTAACATTAGGCTGCTTTTAGCCTTACCCTGGAGTTGGTTCACTCTCCGGCTATGAAACTAAGTAAATAATTAAATTAGCATGATGATATTGTGTATTGGCGATCTCACAGGCTGACGATAGGACGATATGACTATGGAGCATATCGCCCAACACTACTCCTCCCTACTCCTAACAATTTTTAACCTTAAAGGGATAGTTCACCCAAAAATGAAAATTCTGTCAGTAATTACTCACCCTCATGTCGATCCAAACCCGTAAGACCTTCGTTCATCTTCGGAAAACAAATTAAGATATTTTTGATGAAATGTGAGAGCTCTCAGACCCTGCATAGACAGCAAAACAACTGTAATGTTCCCAGACAGAAACATAGTAAGGACATCAGTAAAACAGTCCATGTGACATCAGTGGCTCAACATTAAGTTTTGCGAAGCTGCGAGAATACTTAATTTTGGAGAGTATCACAATGCATAAGCACGGTTTCTCCTAAGCATAAACAACGCTGATTACGCAGATTACGTTCATGAACACTCTTTCTCCCCCGAACGTAAACAACGCTGATTATGTTCTTGGATACTCTCCAAAATGGCGGAAGACGTAACTCGTAACTCGGGGGAGAAGAACTGTTAAATAAATTGTTATTTTTGTTTTCTTTGGGCTCAAAAAGTATTCTCGTAGCTTCGCAAAACTGAAGCTGAGCCACTGATGTCACATGGACCGTTTTACCGATGTCCTTGCTATGTTTCTGGACCTGGGAACATTACAGTTGCGTTGCTGTCTATGCAGGGTTTGAGAGCTCTCACATTTCATCAAAAATATCTTAATTTGTGTTCCGAAGATGAACGAAGGTCTTACGGGTTTGGAACGACATGAGGGTGAGTAATTACTGACAGAATTTTCATTGTAGGGTGAACTAACCCTTTAAGAGCTCTTTTAAGGGTTAAGATTGATTTGTGAGTAACTTTTATCTTAACTAGGATCCTCTTTAATCCTAATGGGAAA